TTTCAGTCAGCTTTTTCAAAGTTAACCTGATTAGAGAGAAGAGAGTTTCACTCATTTATCTTCACTTAGTTCAATATTAAATTGAATAATCTCATGATCTGATTCTGATGTCTCATTTGAATTAATAAATCAGTTTACAAGTCTTTTTTTCATTAGATTTTATAATATGAAGATTAGATTTATAATAGATTTCTGTTTCATATCTTTTCTAAAGAATGTTTGTTGATCAGACTTATTAATTAAATCTATTAAATGCTTAAAGATTCATTTAATCAGATTATCAGCTCTCACTACTCTCTTACATTCTGAATTTCATCAGAGATGATGTGTATTGAAATCTCCTGCAATTATAGAGTTTCTTGATGAAGTTATATTCAGAAATTCTTTAACAATTATTCAGATATTGTTATTTTTCTTCAATGACTTTTCATTATAGATATTTATGAGCTGTATAGTATCAAACTCATTTTCTTTATCTATAATATCACTCACCAGAATATCAGGGTCAGACATGATATTAAATCTTAGATTAAATTAATATCTTGATCTCTTTCTTTTATAGATCACTACTCTTGACTTTATCTCAGACTTTTGAGGTAGAAAGCAGTAGTAGCTTAAATGAGAAATAATGTAATTTTACTCAGCATCAAAATTCAGTTCCTCAAGTAGTATAAAATCAACTTTTTATTCAAATGTAATTTGAAGATAAGAATAAATATAATTTGAGTTTCTATTCACATTATTTTGAATAAATATGATTTTTGAAGAGTTTTTAAACTGTTTTTGTTATTTTTATTGTATATTCATACTAAAAGAGAGTAGAGATAGAGTAGAATCTAATCACTATCATCAGATAGTAGATTATAACTATTTTGAAAAGTAGAGATCTCAACTGCTTGTATTATATCTAGTTTATTATCAGAGTCATTTCTCAATTCTCTAATCTTAACAGAAGTTTGAGAATTTAAATTCTGTTTACATTTAGCAGGAGAATTGAAGTTTGAAGATTTAGATAGTTAAGAGTTTCTTCTTTTTGAGCTTACAGTTGTAAGTCTACTGACTTGACTCTTCTCTTCAGTTCTAGATTGACTTTGAGCTTTATCTTTTCTCCAGTTCTTTTGAGTTCTAGAAGTAAATATACATTCTTTTGAGCTAGATGCATGTTTTTCTTTGCAATTAGAGCACTTAAGCAGAGTGTGTTAACATATTTCATCTCTTTTTAAGCATGTTTCACATTTATACTCACTAGTTTTGTAATCTCTGGCACAGAATGCACATTTTGAGTCTCTAAAATATAAGATTGTAAAGTGTTTATATCTTTGACAGTTTGAACACTGTGTTTGAGCTTTGAGATTCATTCTTGAGTCTTTGTATTCATGAACTCTTATTTTCAAATCTGCTACTCTTACTTCAGAGATCTTTGACTGTTCAAGTGTTTTTATATATACTAGAACAGAGACATTTCTCCTGCTTTGTCTGAACTCAATTGAATTTAGTTATACAGGCTTCTTTCTCAGTTGAATAGAGTTGTATTCTTTCAATTTATTTTTGAGAAGTAGCATTTCTTCTTCACAGTCAAAAATTTCAACTGAAATATCATGAAGAATGAATTTGTCTCACTTTTCATCTCTTTCAGATAGAATTATTGTGTTTAATAAAGATTCTAGTGCTGACTTTCAGAGATTCTCATTCTGAATAAGGAATTCAGCACTGAATTCAGGTATTATAGTCAGAATGATGAAGTTTCTAAAGAATGATGACTCAATTGAAGTTATAACTGATTTTTAAACTTTAATATCAGTTATCAACTGAGAAAAGAACTGCTGATTAATTTCATTTCTGATTCTGAAAATGAGATTTGAGTTTAGCTTGTTTCTTTGCAGAATATTCTGATTTGAGACTTTGAGAATAAGTCTTCTATTTATGAAAATTTGAAAGTTTTTCTCTTTTTGCATTTTCTTTTTCACTTTTCTATGAATAGAGATATGAACAGTATTCTTCTCAGTTTTCTCAGGATTTTGAGCAGGTTTTGAGACAGCAGGTTTAAAGACAGCAGATTCAGCTACTTGAGCATATGTTTTCTTCTGATTTAAAGAAGAAGAAGAAGTAGAAAAAAAAGAAGAAGAGTAAGATAAAGAGTCAGTGATTGTACAAGAAATTTTCAATGTTTTTTAAACTGTGTTTGAGATTTCAAGTTTGAACTTGATCATCTTCTGTAGTTATCTAGCCTGAGCATGAAGAATTAACAGAACTTCTTCATTCATCTCACTCAGACACTGCTTTTCAAGAATCTTGCTTACTTTTTCAAGTTTCTGTATTTCAAGAACTTGTTATTTCTCTATTTCTTCTTTCTTTCTTCTCTTCAGAATTTCAATCTCAGGAATAGCATTTGAGAAAGCAACTTTTTCCACATCAACTGAGTGTATTTTTGAACTCATTGTTCTCACTCAATGAAAAGTTGATCAGACTGTTTCAATTGAGATATTTCTAAGTCTGTTTTCAATTGAAAAGTTAGTCTGACTGTTTCAAAAGAAGAATAAAAGACTTTTATGTATAAAATACCTGATTTTTTTCACACTAGTTCAGTAACTAGGTTAGATTTTTGAAGAGAATCTAATAAACTAAAATTGATTTTTGAGATAAATCAATAAAATCTTTACAATCTCTTTCTTAAGATACAGTGAGAAAGAGTATGATATCAATTAATAATGAATCAGATGATATGACAGTTTTTGAGAGAAAAACTGATAAAAAATAAATCAATTTTTTGCACAGAAATTGATTAAAACTATTCAATTTTATTCTAAATTATTCAATTCTTCTCACACAACAAGTGTGCAACTCAAATCAGTTAATAAAGAGTGTAAAAAAGAATTAAGTATTAATGAAAGCTCTTCAGTCACTGAAAAAGTAATTCTTACTTAAAAGAATATAAAATTATGATAGAAAACAGCTCTGTTTTTTATTCTTTGTAAGAATATTGTGTAAAATTCAGAGAAAAACACCTTACTTTTTCAAGAGAAGTAAAAAACTATTTCTAAGATCTTTTTTTTTTGCATTAACTGCTGCAGAAGAATGAGATAGAAACTGCTAAGATATACACTACTGTATATTCTCTATCAAGACTTTCTCTCTTCAGGGTCTTGATATTATAGAGAATATAAGTCTGTTTCTATATAATAATATAAATATTGTCAGCAGAATGTAGAGAAACTGGTTATTTATATCTCAAAATAGAAGACTTTGTCAATGATTATATCAATATAGAGTTAATTTTCAAATTCAATAGAAATCTAGTGTTACTGTTCTCAATCTCTTACAGAATCTATTGAATATTGAGATATTAAAGCTAGATTTAATATATCTCACTGTGCAGGGATCAAAGGCTCAGTCAGATCTTGAGATATACTGATTTTATAGTTGTTGATGTGCTGTTGACTCATTGTCTGCTGATTATGTATTAAATGCTGTTGCTGAGGTTTCTTTTTGTATTGTTCTGTCAGGGATGAGCCAGATTGAGAGAGGTAGTACAAGGGTGAGACTTGGTGTTGAAGTCTAGATACACTGACAACAGACTGTGAAGATTGCACTTCAGAAGAGTCCATTGATTATGTGCTTGATATTATCACTGAGGTATCTTTCTGTATTTTTCTGCCGGGGATGGGCCAGATTGGGAAGGGCAATACAAGAGTGAGACTTGGTGTTGATGTTTTGAAATATCAAAGATGGACAGGGTTTTCGCGGAGGTCGCTCCTCAGATATCTTCACAACTACAGGTCAGGGATCTTCCAAAATCAAGAAGATTGGTGCATATGGCTAGGTCTCTTCACCTTACAATTTGTATGGCACTTTGGCCCGGGGTTGTGGTGTGGTAGGGGAGAACAGGGGATAATCCTACACAGGAGTTTCAAACAACGTCCAGTTCACATTTGGCTGGATAACTCCACCACCACACGGGGTATGCGGTCAGCGATGGGGTCAGAATGCTTGTATGATTGAGGGCTTTTCGATGGATCTATCGGCGGGTTCTTATTCGAAAAATCGAGCGAGTTCGTGGTGGAGCGGTTGTCTCGCTCTTTGGAACTTGAACTTGTATACATTGATTGCAACTGAAAATCAGGCAAAACTATATGCTTATAAAACTGAATTTGACTGCTATCTTCAAGATAATCTGATAAATTTACACATCAAATCAATTCTAGAGTTATAAAAAATTGTTAAGAGTACATATTCAACTGTTGCACTGATGACATGTGATATTCTGATAATTTCATTGACAGAGATGAAAATGAAGTGAAAGTTCAACTCAAGTTGAGATATTTATCACTATCACTGAGAACAATTACAAGAAGAAACAATCAAGAAACTCATGATTATAAAACATGAAATTATCAGACAGTTTAATATCTCTAATCACAGTATATCAGAGAAGTGTAGTTTTCATGAGAAAGTGAAGAATAAACTTGTACAAGAATGTATTTAGTTGTTTCATGAGCATTATCAATAATTGTTATCAAATTCTGATTATATAAGCAATCACTGAATGAACTGAATAGAACTGATTTTAATCTTCAGTTTCAGTCTTATTCTGATTTTGAAAGAATGATCATCTTTCACAGTTTATTCTGAGAAATTACTCTCATTTCACTGTTCTTGAATTAAATCTGGTCATTTTTCACACCATTTCTCTCAGAAATGGTCCATTTTCAGATTTTTTTGAGGCTTGGTCCTGGTGGGACTCATGTCAAGAAATGTATGAGATCAGACCAAATGGGATCAAATGTGAAATTCATGGTCCCGCCGGCCAGTCTAACGAGGAGGCATATAGGTCGATCGGCAGTTGGAAGCAAGAAGAGGTCAGAAGCATCAAAATATGCGGGAGCATCTAAGCGTTCTTTGAGCGCTTTTGTATTCGATTCTGTAGGTGTTGGAATTGCATGGGTTAATTGTTGAATCTCTTCATATTGAAGTTGTTGAGTCACGTGCATGTCTGCTATCTGTTGCTGTTATAATTTCAACATTGCTCAGAGCCACTGTGGTATCATGTCTATGCTCGCGCTTGAGGGTTTCATATTATCATTAGACATGGTTATATCAATCATCGGATGTATGATATCTGTGAAATCTGAAGAAGTGTAATTGTATTCTCATATGTCTGAGTGTCAGAACTCTCAGGTCTTTCACTGACATTCTCTTGTAAGATCTTATTCTCTTTGTAAGATCTTGTTACAGGGCTAGAGTGACTGATGAGCAAGCTTCTATCTAAGAACTCAGTGTTCACTTAACTGTTTGACTGCTTCTCTATTTCTTACACATTGTTACATATTTGAATATTTCTCAATGAATAATTGTTTCTAATGAGGAGACAATATGTGAATAATTGTTTTCTAATAAGAAGACAATTAACATTTTTCTAGTGTAAGAGGTCTACACTGAATAGATCAGTATAATATATAGGTCTTATATAATAAAGAGAAAAATGTTAAAGAAGAAAAAGAAAGAGAAAGTGTAGAAATCAGCAATCAGAGTGAATATTTATACACATATATAGTAGTGTACATAGTGAAGCTTCGGAGTGGAAGAATCTATACATGTTCATGACAGGTGAGAATCAGTGATTGAGAATGACTGAGAATTGAAGTGTATGTGTTTGATAGTGAAATGAAAGAATCTATGAAGTGAAGCGGAAGAATCTATGAAGTGTAACGGAATAGTCTATATGATTGATCAGGCGCAGCTCATCACATAAAACCATGTAATGAGATCAGTTGAATTGATAATAAGACTATTAAAAAATCTGGTTCTGATCTCAGACACAGTTACATAATTAGTCTAATAACAGATAATATCATCTGAATAAGATGAATATTTCTACTGAAATAAAAGAATGAGATATTGAGATATTTACAGATCTTTAATTAATTTATTAAAAATCTGCTGAGTTGTAGCATTGTAATTATTCACTCAGACTGTGAAGAATTGAATTCAAAGACAGTCACAGTATATATACTCAGTGAAGAAATAAAATAAGAGCTGACTCTCTTTTATACTTCATAGTAAGATGAAGTATTCAAAAAATCAATCAGTTTGATTATTAAGAAGTTCTAATCACTATTAATTAGACTGGCCGCCGGGACCATGAATTTCACATTTGGTCTCATTTGATCTGGTCTCATACATTTCTTGACGTGAATCCCGCTGAGACTGACTATTAAAAAAACATGTAAAGTGACTATATATCAGATCTTAAAATGAAATCATGACTTGAAAAAAATGAGAAAGTAGTCTCATTTGGTCCCATTTAGTCACATTCTTGGCATAAAGTTACTATTTTTAGACATTTTAAGGTTTTTTTTAGACTATTTTTAATTTTTTAAAAAGTAATGCTTTTTGATAACACTTAAATGAGATTTAAAGTCATTTAAAGCAATAAAAATAATTTAAATTGAGAAGTGGAAATCATGGTCTCATTTGAAAAATGTGACAAGAGTAGACAGTAAGTTTCACTGAGACAGTATGAGACTACTATCTAATGTTAAAACCATGTAATGGGATCAGTCGAATTGGTAATGAAACTATCAAAAAATCTGGTTCTGGTCTCAGACACGGTCACATGGTCAGTCTACTATTAATAGACTCTTTCACTTCTGAAAAGATATGAGATAAGACAGTTATTACAGTCACAGAGCTGCTTAATTCTATGTCAATCTCAATGATATTATATAAGAGCTCTGAAAATACAAAGCTAATTACTCTGTATGAGATCTGACTTGAAGCTCTATCTTCTGCATATAGTATTTGCTGATGAGATTGTAAAGCATTCTTGAAAATAGTCTTCAAGCTCATTAATAAGATGATATTTCATTTCAAAGAGTTGATTTTTATAAGATATGATGATTTTATTAATTACAGATTGATGAATCTCTTCAACAGACATTTATATATATTAAAAGACATCATCTTTCAGAAGAATCTTCATCTTATTAATTTATTAATATTGACTACTTTACACAATATGAAGACTCTACTCAATACGGTCCGTAAAGCGGCTGCAGTGATTTCTTCAGTGATATCAGATCTATTCACTGCAGCTTATCAAGAGATTATAGTAATTTCTGATTTATTAATTGATGATCTGTTCATTGATGAGAAAATTCAATCTGAGTGTTCATTATTTCTTATATTCACTAATAATTGATGAATTGACTATGAAATCTCCGTGAGAATACCTACTTTTTTAGTGCAGAATAAACTAAACTTCTCAGAACTCACAGTTAAATCTGATAATTCTCTAATATTTACAAGAGATATTACTACAGTGAGGAAATCTACAGTGAGAAAATCTTTTGTAAGAGATAGTCTTAAAGATCTACTTATCAATTCTAATAGAAGAGAGTTAATTACTTAAGAATATTTGCATCTGTTATCTCTGTATCTATCTCTTGAGCTCTTATAATAATCTCAGTATTCTGAGAATGATATGTTTTGCAGATTAATATATAATCACTTTTTTAAACACTTAACTATCTGCTGATGAATGAATATATATAAATCAATTCACAGAATTCTGTGAAGACTGTGATAATCTTGTGTATGAGTTAATACAGAGACTCTACAGTCTTAAGCAAGCAGCACTCTTATAATGTAAGAAGCTGTGAAAAATACTATTATACTCAGACTTCTGTATCAGTCTCTATAATACTGAACTATTTATTCATGATGAAACACAGATCTATATAATTATCTATATAAATAATATTTATCTCTACAGTCTGAAAATTAATAATCTGAACTAAGTCAAAGCTGAAATCACTGCTAATTATAAGATCAAGAATGTAGAGAATTTCAACTGCTATCTGAGAATGAAGATTAATAGATATTTAACTTTATTCATGTTATTTTAATCTCTCTTTATAAGAAATCTTTTGAAGAAGTTCTTAATAAATGACTGTTATTCTACATTCACTTCTATGAAGAAGAATATTAATTTTATGAATAATGATAAGAAACTAATTATATACACAGCAGAATTTACTCTATAATTCTATCAATTCAGTATCAGATTCCTGCAATTTCTGACAACTAATACACATCTTAATATAAGCTTTACTGCAGATTTTCTTGAACAATTCAGCTCTCAGTCTATATCAAAGAACTGAGCTATATTTAAATATACACTTCAATATATAGAGAGTTCAATCAATGAGAAGATAATCTATCACAGAGATACTGATATTAAATCTGTAATATATACAGATACTAATTGAGCTGATAAAGATTCAGAATTTCATTCAATCATCAGTTATATCATCTATATAATAGATGACTCTGTTGTATGATAGAGCTGTTGATAAACTGAGATCTTCAAATCATTAATAGAGACTGAATATATTACATTCTCCGAGACTGTATATAAGCTGATCTATCTCTGCAAGCTTCTGAAAGATACTGAATTCATTTCATTCTGTCTTAATAATCTAAATGCTGATGATCATCTTATTTTCATAATAGTTAATAATCTGACTTATATAATTCATACTGATAATAAGTTCATTATAGAACTATTCTCTTCTGAAGCAATTTCACACTGCTTGAAGTATATAGAGATCTGTTTTTATATTCTTCAGAATCTTATCTACAAGAATGAGATATCTATCTAATATATTCTATCTGCTAAGAACACAGTGAATGAGCTTACTAAATCACTTAAAACAATGAAATATATACATTGAAAGAAGAATATAAAGAAGATAGAGAAATAGAGAGATAAAAAATAATGTATCTTATAACTGATTTTTCATTACTACACATTTTTCAGTCATTTTTTATACCTGTACTTGATTTGAAGATGAATTTTATATATAGCATCATGTATAGTTACTCTGATAAGTGAGAGTGTTAAGTCATATAATCTAGCTTACTAATTCTTTCATTATATAACTTTTTGTAAGCTAGTAATCTTTTAATTATACAAGCTTTATATCTTTTACAATATCAGAATAAATAATTCAGACAGTGAAGAATTATCTTTATAAGTTTTATAACTATTTGTAAGATAACTGATATAATCTTCTTCTACATACTGAAGTCACTATTAATAACTGAGATACTGTTTCAACAGATATAAGCCTGTTCTTTCTTATACACAGTTAGTATATGAAAGTGTTAAATCTTTTAAAAATTACACAGTTTATATCAAATCTCTGCAGTTCAATTCAAATCACTGATAATATAGTAATAAAGCTCTGAGATACTTATAACTGAGCAGAGGTCTTTATAATAAGTACTAAATAAAATTAAAAGAACTGAATCAATGTATTAAAATCTTACTAAGTAATATAAAATAGAAGATCTGATATAATTGAATCTTAAGAATATACAAATTATACACTTATCTTATACACTAAATTATTATTATATTAAGTATAAAGTGATAGAAGTTCTAGACAGTTATAACTATTATCTTAATATATTATTAGAGATTTATAATATCTTTATATAAGCTTACTTTACTATACTATTACTAATCTATTCTCTTCTTAACTAACTTTTAACTAGCAGCTGTCAGAGATTATAGAAGAAGATAATGAACTTGAATAAGAGATTAAAGATATTTTTAATAAGAGACTCTGCAGCTGTAGCTGATAATATCTTATAAAATAAGTTAGTTATAATTATTTAATCTAAACTTCAAGCTCTGTATTATCTGAGATAGTAGCTCTTAATTAATAAGAACTATATATCTAGACTGACCGTGTGACCGTGTCTGGGACCAGGATCAGATTTTTTGATAGTCTCATTATCAATTCAACTGATCCCATTACACGGTTTTAACATTAGATAGTAGTCTCATACTGTCTCAGTGAGACTTACTGTCTACTCTTGTCACATTTTCCAAATGGAACCATGATTTCCACTTCTCAATTTAAATTATTTTTATTGCTTTAAATGACTTTAAATCTCATTTGAGTGTTACCAAAAAGTGTTA